TGTCTCGTTGCTGTGTTGCTGTGTCTCGTTGCTGTACCTGCTCTCGGGCAGAAATCCAACCAGAACCGTTCCGATCACGAGCCACGAGAGGCCGATGATGGCCAGCGTAATCCTGCAGGAACACGAGAGAGAGGAAATGTTAAAAAGTCTTTTCTATGACTGACGTCGAAGGAGCATCCTGGATTTTTGGATTCTGATGGTTCGTGTCCATGGGGGCGTTTTTGGACGTGCAAAACTCACTTTGTCGCTTCCCAACTAATTCTCCTGACACTATTGCTCCGGGATTTCTAACCGAACCAACATGGCGGCTTGTCTGGAAACAGTTTCCAATATTACGACAATAGTTCACTGAAATCTGTCTCTGAAAACATTTTAAGCAAGAAATAATACATTTTTTATTTTATTGATGGTAAACATGTCGCCTGTAGTGAAAGTCCCCAGACTCCCTGTAAGTGAGGACAAACTTTATAAACTTCCTGACAGTCTGAACCAACCTGAGAGGGAAGAGGATGCAGTAGCGTACAAAGACACCGAGGCCCCAGATGACGGTGAGGCGGAGGCTGATGAAGTGGAAGTTGTGGTTGGTTCTGGTGAGGAGGTTCCAGGAGGCCAGCTCCTCAGAGGAGAAGCGCTGGGTCACCTGGTCGTCCACGATGCTCTCCAGACCCTTCTTGTAGAAGTAGAAGGCGTCGCTCAGAGAAAACTCGCCTCCCACCAGTGAGCGAGAGCTCCGCAGCTGCCCCATCTCCTCCTCCATGGAGCCTCCCGCTCGCTCAATGATCCCTGGGACACGATCACAAAACTGGGTTACACCCGGACCGACACGTCAGCCGATATTAGCAGATATGTTGATATTGGCATCGGATGTGTTTGAGGTTGATTTATACAATCTTAAAATATCCCAAACATCACTTTTATCTTCTGGCTTTTTCTTAACTGATAGTATTTAAATGGTTTTATTTTGTTTGTACATTAAGTTCTGGTTCTTATTTACTTACTAAATATAAATCAGTGGTTCAAGCATTGAGCCTTGTGGAACCCCTGATAAAATTTTTTGTTTTAACAGATTATGGGCTGTCGTTAAATCTGAAACCAGACTGGAGCACACTGTGTAAACTAAAGAAGAACCTTTCCGTCAACATCTGTTAATTTACTGTCAGAAACAAACAGCAAATCTTCACGTTTGAGAACCTTGAACCAGGAAATATTTGGCATGTTTGTGTGGGAAAAACTGAAATGATCAATTGATTACTCAACTCAGTCAACAGTAGATAGAGCTGGTGGAGAAAGTCTCCAAACTCCCTTAAAAAAATCACACAATTCTGAGATTTTCTGAGTGAGAAGAAACTTTATAAACTTTGTGAAACTTCTCTATGATAAATTCTTCATTATTTAGGTCTTCTTGTAAATTTGGCAAATGTTACACATTAATTTGTTTGTCTTGTGTAATAAACATTGTGTCTGTTTGTCCAAGCGTGTTCACTATCACACGTTTCATCTTTGCAAACAGTAGTGATGAATGTGTTTATCTGCTTACAGAGCGAGGAAGTGAGATCTGATCACAAGATGTGAACAGAGTTTTACTGATATATTGATACAGCGAATATACAAATCTGTGCTGGATGAAACAGTTGTATGTCTGTGCTGTATATCTACAGCACAGCGACAGCACAGACAGTTTGGTACATTGTGTAACATTAAATACGTGACTCATTAACACATAGAAACACCACTCTGTGTATTTTAAACTCAATCAGGTTTTCACACTAGGAAATAGTTTTGGTGTTTTAGTGCATAATAAACCAAAAAAAAAAAAGAAATATCAGGACAAAGAGCTGCTCTTTAATAATGAGCACGTACTGAATAATAATAATAATAATAATGTTAATAATGATAACAATCAGCTGCTGGAAGGTTGTATTAATAATGTAAAAGGTGAGTGTGGGAACTCTTCGTACAGCTTGAGATAAGACTAAAACAAGCTGCAGCAGCGTGCGTTATGTTAAGGCGGAGGATCACGAGGTCGCTGACCTCTCAGAAATGTTTAACCCCTTAATGTGCAGCTTTCTTTCCCCTCTCACATTATCACTACGATTACAGCTGCAGGGATTTAATAACTGCTAACATGTGCAAATAAATGTTCATATATAACAGTTTTATAATGTACGCAGCCTCAAATGTTGGAACCAACCAGGTATCTTATGACTGATTGTGAAATGAGTTACAGGGGAAATAGGCCATTTAATAAATGTATTTACTTTATGATAGACAAAAGAACTTGTGCATACAAACCTCTATTATATCATAATGAATGTGTTATTACACTTGTTATCCTTTAACTTACAATCATTAATCACTAAATTTGGCAATAAGCTGCTGTTAGCTGCTGTTAGCTGCCTGTTAGTTGGTGAATTGTGGTTGTATGTCTAATTATTAAACGCCAGCGCAGGCTGCTTGCTCGTTATCGGCCAGCAGTGTGACCTTCTCTCGTCTTCACTCTGCGCTGGCTGGTTTGACTTACACTACGCAATCTGCAAGTTGCATCAATCAAAATGCCCTGAGAACGGAGCACATGTGTTTTCCGAACCGACCTGCACCCCCGACATCCACACACACACCACACACACACAGTGTCACATGACCTCCGTCTGCAGCTGAAACAAATTCCTCATACAGCGGGACACGATGTCCTGAGAGCACAAACCAGGAAGTACAGCCGCGTCTTCTAACAATGGAACCAGAACCAGCACACACACACACACACACACACACACACACACACACACAGCAACACACACAACCACATCTCACAACACACCATTAGCACACACAACACATAAACGACACACACACACACCTGCACAACACACATACACACACACACACACACACACCAACACACTCACACACACACACACACACACACACGACACACACTCACACACACATTTACACACAACACTACACACACACACTCACACTCGACACACACACACACACTTCACACGACACATACACACCAACACACACACTCAACACACACACACTCACACTCACACACAGCACACACTCACACAACACACACACACACACACACACACACTCACACAACAGGAGACGTTGGATCCTTAACAGTGTACAGGTCAGCAAATTATTTGCGTAATATTTGAGTTCAGAGTCCAAAATTAACTTCCGGTGAGCCCTTATTTGGTTGCAGCCACAGCTGCTGCCTCCACAAAGACCTGGAGTATATATTGGCAAGTGTGGCAGGCTCTGTTTGTTGTTGAGGTTATTGCATCTACAAAAAAAATCAAACTTGACCTATCGACCCTCTATCTAGAAGTTAAACGGAGTCTGTTTGTACTGTCTTGCAATAACATAATCATAATAATAATAATAATAATTAACTTCTATTTGACCAAACACTCAGTATATGATATATTTCCAAACCTCCACGTTAGCCCGACACTGCGTGAATTTTTTTTTTTAATGAGCAAGCAGCAGAATTCAGGGTTTACTTCTTTAAGAAGGACATTTGCTGTTTTTTAGCATTCAGCTAGCTATGTGTTGACACAGAGCTGCAGTTACCCAGCGTTCAGAGGAACATCTCAGCATTGCTGTACGCAGGGTTTTAGAAATACAGAGGTTGCATAATAAAGTTATTTTGAGGAAATAATTTCACAACTTTTATTGTATCCAGAGGTCCAGACACCTGTTGGTACGGTCGCTCTCATGTGTGATTGTTAAAGTCTGACAGCAGAGGTCAGAAGCAGCACGGCAGTAAATTCCACCAGAACCCTGCAGAGACTCGCACAGGTTGGTGCAAACATCACTGCTCATTAAAACTCCTGTTTGTGCTGACAGGTAATCTGAAGGGACTCACCGTTGGGCAGAGGCACCGGCACACTGGACTGCTCCTGCCGTCCTCTCTGGATCCGTAACGTGGCCCACTGCAAAGAGAGTTATTGTCAGATGACCTCCGACCCGATGCCTCCTGCTGCACATTTCATAATAACTGCACAAACACATGAGGCAAGGAGAGAAGAGTTCTCCTGAGGACACAAACTGAGGGAATTCACTTACCTCCAGGATTTTGACCAGGACCTGGATGTAGACCCCGGTGACCCCCAGAGAGAGGCCAAACATGGCGGGCAGCATGATGAGGAACACCACCACAAACATCCACACCTGGAAGACGGCTACAGCTAAACCCCAGAGGTCCTCCATCACTGACAGCGAGGGCAGCCACGACTCTACAGGTCGGAGGTCACCTCATCGTCGGCAAACGCCACCGACAACACCAGGGTCCATCTGCTTTCCTGCCAAATTAACAGTCTGAAATACAACAGAGATATTACGTTAAAACAAACAAATGTACTTAAAGTAATAAAAGTACAGAAAAATGTCCCCTGTGACTGTTATTATCAATCGATTGATTGATTAGTGAAAATTAAAGTATAAAGTAAAATATACTGTAAAATAAAAGTTATTTTTACAGAATTAAACTGTCAGCTGTGGTTGTCAGAACTTTACCGTAATAAATACAGTAGAACTTTTTCTACCACTACAGTAAAAGGATATTAGTACTGTTGAGTTTTAATCCATATTTTACTGTATAAATACGTTTAATATGTTTTTACCATCAAAACAGTTTTTCCATATGATGATATGATGGTGGTCTATAATATAAATAAATGACTTTATTCTGTATTAATGTGTATCTGTGAGATATCACAGTGTTGTTACAGAAACTTTAACCTATTTACAGTTTACAGTGTTTTACTGTCATTGTTTGGTTACAGATATTTTTTACAGTTTAAATACCTCAAATTAAAGTACTTTAGTATTCAGATCTTTTACTTTAAGTAAAATACCACAGACATGAATAAATACTCTGTTACAAGTAAAAGTATTTAAGTATAATCAGGATGTAGTTAGTATTATTTCAGATTATTTTCTCCATTAATTAATTGATTGATTGGTTTGTAAATATTCTGTAAATAGTGAATATTAAAGTATAAAGTAAAATTAGAAGAAAAGACTAAAGTAAAGTTTTTATTTATACTTTTAGTATATAATACTTTTACTTTAAAGACTTTAAGTACATGTTCCTGATCATTCTACTAATACTTTAATTTGATTTGTACTTTTACTCACTACTTTTAGATCTTTTAGAAACCAATCAATACATCGATCAATGGAGAAAATAATCAGCAATAATACTAATACTGATTACACTTAAATACTTTTACCACAGAAATAAATGAAATGTAAAAGTCCTGCATTGAATGTGCCACTGTAATAATAATAATCAGGTAAAAGTACTTCAAGTATTAAAAGTAAAAGTACTTAACCCTGTGACTGTGAATTACCGGATTATTACTGTTCATTTACACTTTAACACTTTAATTATTGGTTTGTAAAGCTTATGAGTGAAGTAAAAGTACAAAGAGTAAAGTAAAGAGTAATGGAGTATTTCAGTGTCTTCAGTTACATTCCTGCGTTAAAGGAGAGGAACCGTTAGTCCCGGTTGTTTTCTCTGATCCGAACAGTAAACGAACTCCACACTGACACAAACAACAACAAACAAATATGTTTACATGAATAAATACCTGATACTCGATGAGTCGGTTCCGCAGCTGATAAATGTTCCGTTGAAACAAAGAAAAAGTATTTTGAGTCCAACTCGGAGCAGAACTCCTCCTCCGTCAGTTCACACTGGCGGACTGCGCCTGGAAAACGCAGAGTTTCGCTGCGCTTATGTTGCGCTGCATTAACGCTTCTGATCGATCAGTATCGGTGATCAATAAGCAGCATGGCGGAACCGACTGTCCGTATGTCTGGGATCGTGTTGGCTTCTCTCATGTTCCAGCATGTTAACAGTGATTCAGACGTGGTGAGACTCATTCACAGCTCGTTAAAACCGATGTGTTTTTCACTGGAGTCTGGTCGGTTAGCGCGTTTCTGGGAGCTAGCGAGAGTCCCAACGCTATTAATTAACTTTTAACTTGATTAGTTCTTGTTTAATAGTTTAATAGTGACGGTTTCAGACTGTAGTTTGAAGAGTTTGTCGTTAAAGTGAAGCTAACATCTCTCATCACGCCATTTATGCAACTTTTTAAACCGAGCTAAGAGTAAACAGCCCAGAAACACCAGACTCCGTTCAGAAATACTCTCATTTCACATGAAAGCGATTATGGAAAATAAAACGTAGCTTGTGAAGTTTGACTTAATGTATTTTAACAATCAGGAGGGTCTGTTGGTGCATTCGGTGTATTTATAAACCAATCTGTAATTCTTATGAGTTAGATATGAACATAAAGACCTGCTGCCCAGTTACCGCCCACCTATCATCATCATCTCTGTGTCCTTTTAATGTGTTAGTTTAATAATTGATTAATATGCGGATTTATTTTTTATGTGAAATGTCAGAAATTAATTGCCAAATATTCAGTTTACAATCATGTATTGAATTCAGAGAATATGTGTCATATTTTAACTATTTTTGCTTGAAAAATGACTGAAACAATTAATTGGTAAAATATTTGCAGCCTCATTGATTAATCAACTAATTGTTTCAGCTTGATTAAATGTGTGCTTATGTTTCACTTTTTGAATCCTATTTAAATGAGTTTGTATTGTGTCTTATGTAAAGTGCCTTGACATGTCAGTTTTACTTTTTTTTAAATTAATTATCAACAAATACTTTTATACTGAAACTCATGAAATACTGCGACACAGTTCAAACTCTGTAACCACTGTAATATTAATATTTAACACCCTGGTGTCTGCAGGAAGGTCTCCTCCTCGGGGAGAGCCGGTTTGAGGAGCAGGTCACCATCAGTGACTCTCAGGCCGATAACATCCACATTGAGGAAATCTACAGTGAGTTCATGTTGGAGTCACATCCTCACTGCCACATTATTACAATCATTATAACTATAATAATACTATATCTGTATGTGTTTCTCAGATATCCAGAAGCACATCGCCTGCCACAAACTGAACCAGTGAGTATCTGATGTCAGACCAGCGTCCTGCTCTTCAGATGTGGTTTAATTCAAGCTAACATGCTTTTATCAGGATAAAATAATAATAATATAACAATATTCTCATTGTTGATCCTGGATGATGAACAGTGTGCTCTTATTTTCAAATCAAGACTCACTCGGTACAGTAAAAAGCAGCTTAATGCCGTTAATGTCTAATTAAATGTTCTGGCTCCATTTGACTATTTATGTTCTCCGTTTCTAAAACTATATTTAAACTTTTTATTTTGTTGTATATTTTATCAGCTCATCATAATTAACCTGCATGTTTTCATCTAAAATCACAATTATATAAAAATTCCTTTCGACTTCCTGTTTGTGATTTCACAGTAAAACGTCTAAAACAGCTAAATGTAATAAGCAGTTTTGGGCCACAGATAGAAAATGAGAACTGGTTACTGAACAAGATGGTGTTTTTTTATTATAATATACTATACTTATGTAATAATCCCGTGAGGGGTTTCCTCTACCCTGGCCTGCATACTTACGGAACAGTGTCTCCTGGACCTTGTCAGGGAGCTTTAACAGATATACCAGGACTATAAGTACTAACGCTGAGGCCTGCTTTTGCAGTTGAAGGTGTTACCACCACTCTTTGTGCTTTGCAGATCTACGCACACGTGTCGGAGCAACGTGAAGTGGACGGCAGTCATAAGGTCCTGGCCGACCATGAAGCAGGTAACACACCCTCCGACGTGACTGCAAGCGCGTGGCCTGGAGGGAGTTGATCGGTGACTGAGCCGTTGGTGTCGTTTGAACGCCTGAAGGAGAGGCGTGACTCGTTCGGTACCCGCCAGCCCGCAGGAACACGGAGCCACGCCAGCATGACCTCATCAGAGAAAAGATGCGTCCACGAGAAGCCTGAAGAGTTCGCTGTCCAACCTCACATGAATCTTCCGTGCCTGCTGACGACCCCAGCAACCTTAAACGGCGCCGAGGCTCCTGCGTCTGTTCGAGCCCCCACCAGGATTGGAGTCACCACGCCGCACGTTCACCGTCACGCAGCAGGCTTGACCTCACAGGGTTCATTACTCACTCAACACCGGCCTGAGTCACACTTCGGGACTGTTTAGCTCCGTTTTTCAGTTCGTGGAAGCCCTTTGGAGATCCTGGACGAGCCCCAAAAAAAGACTGAGCACCCCAAAATATTAGCGACTCATCAATCCTCCGGTAGCTCCTGTGGACATATGGACAGCGCCCCTTGAGCTGCCCTTCGTGTTTCTAGAGTTAGGTGTCTGTTACGAATCACGTTAGGAATTGTTAAAATGTGATATTTCTTTAAAGGGAGTTTGGTGCAGGGAGCTTTTAGTTGGATTCAAACTGCTGATATGGATCATTGTTAATGTTTAGTCTCCACTACAGAAACACTAGCTAACTGATAAAGGCTGATCAGGTTGTGTTACGGTATTAGTTTGATTGATGATTTAATAATCTGAGTATTGATTACTGATGCTGGCTGATTAAACACAATGTGCTTGTTATTAATGCTGTTATTGATGACCAGATTAAAGACAGGAAGTTGTGCAGTGTGACGAAGGCTTTACAGTGTTCCTCTCGTCCCCTCCTGCAGACTACGGGTGGCCGCTGCCTTCTGACCTCTGTCCCATCTGGATTTACCTGGACGTCCTGTTCTCCACGGCATCCATCATGCACCTCTGTGCCATTTCTCTGGATCGATACATCGGCATACGCAACCCGATCCACCACAGCCGCTTCAACTCCCACACCAAGGCCCGCATCAAGATCATGGCAGTGTGGACGATTTCAGTGGGTAAGAACACTACATCTGTTTGTTCCTGTTGGGTTTAAGCTCCGATGTTTGCTGTAAAGATTGTTCAACAACACAGAGGTGGGAGAACGTCACACGTAGGTCCCAAAGTTTGGTGACTGCTGGAAAGACTAACAAATGTTTGGATAATTTTACATGTGCAAGTTAAATGAGTGGTTTTATGAATGGAGTCTGGTGGGCCGTAGCTCCCATTATTTTGGTCTGAGATGCTGGTGCTCTAGTGCGACACCTAGTGGCAGTGAATGTCGTATATATCCTCTTTAAGGTCAGTGAAACGTGTTATTGATTTAATCAAAAGTGTTGATCTGTCACTGACATTAACAGAAGTCATTTTGTTGCCTACAAGCATTTAAACCACCAGGCAGCAATGAGGTTTTCCACAAAATTCCATCTTTTTATATCTTTTTTAATTATTTAAATAGTTTGAATGTATTTTTTAGGAGATGGGGCTGAAGTATTAGCAGGAGGTTAACCTTTGTCTTTGCAGCTTGTGCGATGGGGACTTCAGACTGATTTATGACGATCCATTTAACTACGTAGCCTTCTTATTAGGGGTGTAAAGATTAACCGATACGAGTCAGAAATCAGTTTTAACGTTATAGATGCGACTACATCGGTACGCAGACCCCTGGATGGATCTATAGATACTACGAACCGGTCTGGTCGTAACTCTGTCCTCTTATTCAGTTCAGTTCAATGAAACACAGTCACAAACGCACTGAGTAAAGGATGGCTGTCAGCTGCTCATGAGATGTAATTTCCTCATGTGACGTTTACGACTGCGTATAATTTTTATGGAGGTGAGGAACAATCAGCTCCTAATAATTGGCTTCTGCCTGGCTGGCCAGTGTCCAGCTGCTCAGGTCAATGGTTCTACATGAGCAGGAAATGTAATGAGTGGCTGCAGTGATGGAGGAGGCGGGGGACGTTATTTACCCTCGCTGGGTGCAAACAAGAGCCAAATATAGAATAGCATGAAAATCAAAAACCAGCCATCAGTTATTGTTTGAATGAAGTTGAATTATCCTAAAACTTTTCCACTTTCCCTTATTGATGTGTCTTTCTCTTCGTTAGTCAACGTGCTTTCGCACTAAACTAATTAAGATGAGAAAAAGTTGAGTTTCCTCCAGGTGGCAGAGAGCCCGGACCTGAGATTGTATCCAATGAATGGACGGCAGGAACATTATGGCTTCACATCAGTGTTTGATTTACAGATTGGGTTCTCCTCATTGTTCAGCAGACTGACGCCAATGTCAGATCTACATGACCAATACAGGACGACCAGAGACCTCGCTTGTTATTGCAGACCGCCACCTTCTAAACACCTGATTAATGCAAGGTTTGGCTAGTGTTCGTTGCAATGTAATTTCACCAGAAGGTAGTTTAGGTTAACTAAGCTAGCTCAATATTTTCATCCCACTTGCAAAATATGATTTGAGAAAGTGGTTGAGCAGCAATAAGTTCAGGACCAAGGGTTCAGGATGTCATGTATTGATCATTGGAGTTGCTGTCAGCGTCAGCAACTGCTATTAGGCCTCCTTTTAAGTAGAGATGTCCCTTTTAATAGTAACTTTAGTTACTTACTTTTTTTCCCTTTTTATTTTAATGTGGTTTTACAAATGAAATCACACAGTAACTATACAAAACCGCTCAGTGTTCATTAACTCGGCAGTGGTGGTTATAGAGACCGATCATTTAACCATGTAGTTGATAAAAGGTTTCCATATTTTATCCAATATGGCCTCAATCCAGTTGACTTCTGTTTCATGGAAATACAGTTTTTGGTAATAACCAGTAATGTTTCTGTGAGATTGATGGGTGATGTTTGATCAATTTCAATTCAATTATATTTATATAGCGCCAATTCATAATATAAGTTATCTCAGGACACTTTTCAAATAGAGCAGGTCTAGACCGAACTCCTTTTAAACATAATTTCCCAAACAAAAAAGGACACTATTTAATTGATTGTCATTATTGTGCCCT